TTTGGATCATATTATTTGTCTAGCATGCAATCAATATGCCCATCACCTGATTGGAAATCTGAGAATATTTGTAAAATGGATAACTGATTGAATGAGTGAAAAAAAAATGCCCATGATTTTGAATCAAGTCTTTAGAACCTGTTAAATAGCTGAGCTTCTGCCTATGCCTTTCCTGATCATATTAAGTATTATAAGTATAAATTTTCCTTATTGAAATAAAAACTTCAAGGATCATGATTTTTGTTAATGTTTTCAACATAACTTGAAAATCTTTAAGTTAAGTAAACCCATTACAGCAGGGTCCTGCCCTGATACAGATGGTGTCATAAAGAGGAGAAGGAGAAAGCTGATCCTCGTCTCACTGTACATGTGCACAGAGAAAAGACCAATTGAACAGAAAGAGGAAAATCATTTGGGAAGCAGCAAGAGCGTTTTCACCAGAACACAGTATTTCCAACACTTTCACTTTGAACTTTCTCCCTCCAAAATTGTAAGAGCATAGAATTCCGACAAGTCATGCAGCCTACCGCATCCTGAGCTAATATGATATTCAAATCAGTTCACAGATGAACTCCAATTCATAGCCATTTAGAAGGGAGTGAATACTGGCGAAGCTCTATCCAATGGGCTCCTCCTCACACCTTGTCTTTCTTCATCATGGTTCTGTGCCTCTCAGTGATCATTTCTCTGGCCCTTGCTCTTAGTTTTATATATCTTTACTCTCTTTTGCGTGGCTGTTTAAATTTAAAATGGAGCTATTACCCTCCAACTAACCTTTAGTGTGGGCTTTCACTTACTAAAAATTACAATAATTAATTTCTTATTGATCAGAGCAGTGTTAAAGGGAACCTGAAGTGATTCAGTGAACATTCTCTACCCCATGTCCAGTGGTGCATAAAGCAATGTTTTCCCTGTGAGCCAGCTACACTCTCTCTCTTTTTTTTTTTTTTTTGGTTTTTCTCTGGTACCGGGAACCGAACTCACAACCTTGCACTTAGCCAGGCAGGCGCTTTGCCGCTGAGCTAAATCCCCAACCCCTACACACTCTCTCTCTCACAGTTAGAATGGGCTGAAGTGCCTTCCTTGGCTCTGAATGGTAAGAGAATAAATTCCAGGCCGACTGCTACATACAGGGTTAGGAATACCCCAGTCTCTGTGAAAATCATTGACTTGTGAGTTATTTTCATGATTCACATCATATATGCCCCTATCCACCACTCTTGCTTCTATCTCCTGGGTATGGAGTGTTTAATAGTGTCAGAGGACTCGAGGATTTGCGTCTGTTTGGTGGAAGCCATAAAGCTGACAAAACAGCTGACAAAAAAAAGATAGGAAGGTGTTTAATGGTGCACTTGCAAACACCTATTAAGACAGCTTTGAGAATTCTGGATGAATTCAGACTGAAATCTGCCCTCTGGCTGAGGAAGTATTAGCCTTTTCTGAATTTGAGTGAAGAGTTATTTTTAATAGTTGGATCAACTACAGAAATACACATAAATGTGATCATTGTTCTTCTGTGCACCTTTTGGCTAAGAATGTGTAATATCTGCTATTTGTATCCATAATGTTCAGATGGAAAGGAGAATTAGCAAGGGGGAGGGGAAATGGAAGGAAAAGGAAAACAAAATGATGAGAAAAGAAGAAAAAAATGGAAACAAAGCTTTTGTAAATGAGGGAAAGAGGGGTTGAAGGGAGGGTAGGAGAATGGGAATAAAGTTATAACATGTACAGGTATAAATTTCCTACAATGAATATGATCATTATGTATACCTAAACGTACCAGAAACTTAATTAATAAAAAAGTACTTTTTTTTTTTTTGGTTTTTCTCCGGTACCGGGAACCGAACTCACGATCTTGTGCTTGCCAGGCAGGTGCTTTTGCCGCTGAGCTAAATCCCCAGCCCCTACTATGAAACTTTTAACATATATAATATATTAACAATTTTGGAAGAAATATTTCTTTAATATACAATTTTGAGGTTGATATTCAAATTTAAAACAAAAATGTAAAAAGAAAGATATTTCTAATTTATTGCATTCCTCATGGGCTTTGCATATGGTGTTAACTTAGGAAACATTTATTACATTTGTTACTATATATTTCTATTTCTTAAATATTTTTATTTCCCAAACATAATGTTATATATGTATCTTTTAAATATAATGCTTTACTCTTCAAATTTACCAACAGATTTAAACAATTCATAGCTTTTCAATTGCATTATTTATATGTAGAATGGGGCACTACTTAAAAATCATCTGACTTTGCCCGCACAAGACATGCAAGATCGCAAAGTTATTGGAGAGAAGTGTGATGTACAAATCACTGTTGAGAAAGTAAAACTTCATTGTCCATAAAATTTGTATTTCTACAGTACTAAGTAAAGGCAGTTTTAATAAATCTTTAAGACAGGTATCCAATGCTTCACAGAAATAAACACTTGCCAAATTATGATTAATGGTAGTGCAAATATTGATGTTGATGAGCACATCGGTGATGATGATAGATTCCATTAGTCATCACCCTTGACTTCTCATTAATATATCCTTACTTACCTTCTAGAAATTCCCTGTGCTGGAAAAAGCTGACGTAACCTATTTTTCATCTGTTCATATGGCTAGAATTCATCACAGTGCTGAAAGCAAAAGTATATGACAGTGGATGTATGCAGAAGGCTATCATTCCTCTTGCCATTCCTGCAACACTTTATTGAAAAAAGAAAAAAACAGTAAAGGAAAGCTAAAGGGATGACTCATTCTAGACTCTGAATCTAAACTGTATTTTCTTTAGGAAACGCATTGAATGCATGACTGAATAGAAAGGACATTTCTGCTTTCTGCAATCAAAAGACTGACTGTATTAGAAGGCCTCTGTCTTGGTTTCTTTTCTTGTTGCTGAGGGTTTGGTTAATATTCAGCTGGCTCCCAGGCAGGGCAGTGCAGCAAAATGCAGTGCACAGGAGCAAAAGTCCATACCCTGGCAGGCGGAGGCAGCAAGCTACAGCACAGAGCGAAATTTCTCTTTTATTCCAGGCCACTAGACAATTTGTTGCTGCCACCCACAGCCAGGGAGGGGCTTCCCATTATCCCAGACCAACTAAGCTAAAGCAATTAGTGGGCTAATTTAGTCATCTAGTAACTTTAGTCCATATTCACGCACCCTAAATTAGGCACAGTTGAAAAACCCTACCTATGAAGCCATGAGGCTTTGGGGGCAATCTAGATAGAAGCCAGGACAACCCTCAAGAGGCAGAGTTGCGGACACTATAAAATTTGTGAATAGGGGTGTGTGTGTGTGTGTGTGTGTGTGTCTGTGTGGGTGTCTGTCTGTGTGTCTGTGTGTCTGTGTGTATCCTCAAGCACTTCCATCTCTTTGTGTTCTAAGTATCAGGAATGAATTTCATTTGTTACAAATTATATCTTCAACTTTTGTTTGACTTTACAACTAGCAAATTGAACAGGATGTTAGAAAGGGTACTTAAAATTTATTAGAGACTGATTTGCATATGTTTATGAGATGATAAGAGAAAAATAGGACAGTACCTTTCAACTTCTTATACTTTGTATATTTTCTAGAGTTTAAAGAATGGAGGGAAAAAGCTACAATAGTTTGGGTTGTAAATAGGGGTTTCACATGTCTATAAACTCTCAAGTTAATTCAGTCCTGAGACCAAGAGGTGGCAAATACTATTTGACACTGCAAATATTTATTATTTCTCAATTACTTAATTTTTTCTAATTAAAATATGCCCAATGCTAATATGTAGCTGTTGATTTGAAAATTACATTTGTAAATAATTTAATGACATTCAAAGTTCAGTAAGCCATTTTAAACCTTTTAGCTTGTCTATTGATATTTGAATAATGAAATTAAAGAATCTATAGTAACTAGATGAGCTAATAGAAGTGGTGTCCCTGTTTTCTTTGTTTAAACATCAATAAGTTTATTGTGATGGCTTTCAGCTCAACGATCTAGCTACTAGAAAAGGTTATAGCTATTATGACTGATATTGAAAATATATGTTATTTGCAGTAATAAATATATTACTGCCCAATTACTTAAAAAATAATTTTAACTGATCAATAAAAATGTAAAGAGTGTTCATCTGTGATATAATTTTATGCATACATATGTTATATAATGTATAAATTCCAGACTTTTTTTTTTTTTTTTGGTTTTTCTCCGGTGCCGGGAACCGAACTCACGACCTTGCGCTTGCCAGGCAGGCGCTTTTGCCGCTGAGCTAAATCCCCAGCCCCTAAATTCCAGACTCTTATCCCCAAATATTTATCATTTCTTTGTGGTGGAAATTTCAAAAGGATTTCCTTTAGCTTTTGATACATATGTTATTATTTTCTACACCCATGGAATATTCAATAGGCTACCAGAAAGTTTTATTCCTGTGTAACCTAACTCAGAATCCATTAATCAATATCTCCGTCCCACTCTTTCCTTACTGTCCCTGACTTCTACAAACCAACATGGCGCCCTTAACATGTATGAGATTTACTTTTTTAGATTCCACTATGAATGAGATCATGCCGTACTTGTTTTTCATTTCTTTTTCCACTTCTGGACTATTTTAAGTAGTGGTGAAATGGACAGAGGAGTGCAGATGTCTTTTTCTCATGTGGAAGTCTTTTCTTTTGGATATGTACTCGGTACTGGAAATGCTGGATCCTATGGAAGTTCTATTTTTTCCATAGCAGTTGCAGCAAATTACATCTCCACCAAGAACATGTCTAAGTGTTTTCCATATCTTCTGCAGCTCTTGTTAAATTTATGTTTTGTACAACTGTGTTTGTGGTAGCCATTCTTATTGAGATAATATTATATTTCATTGTACTTTGGACTTTTTTTTGTCATTGCTCAGCACTGTGGCAAGGATTATCCCTGAGAAATACCAAATTCCAAAGGAAAATGGAGCTCACCAGATAATCGATACGACCTTGAACTCTGTAAAGGAGAAGTGCTAGAGTTGTGTTGTCTTATTTTCCAGGTGCATATGTGCTGCAGGTCAAGGCCACAGATGCAGATGACCCGACCTATGGAAACAGTGCCAGAGTCGTTTACAGCATTCTTCAGGGACAGCCTTATTTCTCTATTGATCCCAAGACAGGTAAATTTTTTATTAGAGACAGCATTATCATGGCTCCTTCAAATATTTAAGCTTTAATTAAATCTTGGCATGGGAAATTGCCTCTTCTAATACAGCAATAAAGATTCAGTGAGCTTCACATTAAGCAAATAAGATAGCATCTTACCTGCTGGCTGCAGAGCTATTTCCCTTTGATTGAGCTTTGTGTACATATAAATCTTTTCCCATTATATTTGTGGAGTACAAACTTCCAACTAGGGGTTCTCTGTCTTATTTTAGATTTCCAGACATGGTTTTTGTGAGAGGAAGGAGAGACTTGACAGATTTGAAACAACGACATCACTGGTTTTCTTGGCCAGTGTCTTCAAAGCAAATTTCACTTCTAAATAAAAAAAAAAGTAAACAAACTGCAGCTTTTAAAGACAAGTGTAATTTGATAGCATAGAAAGCACAGGAAGATATGCAAATAGGAGGGTTTGTACGCATTCCCATTTACCTTTATTTTTGGCATACTGGGAGTTAAATCCCTCCGCTTTCACCCATGGATAAATATGCTACCGCTGAGTTATATCCCATCACCTAAGTAGTTTTTAAATGAAACAAGATTCCTTGCAATACAATCTGTGTTTGAATGTCGAATGTTCTTTTAAAGAGATTCAGTGACATTGACCTGAAAAAAGGTAGCTACTCCATGTCGTAATTAAAGAAGAAACACCAAAATGAGTCATTTTGTCAATATTTCTTAACTGTATGCTATTATACGTTGTAAAATGAATGGAATACTACTTTTCATGTAAATTTAATCTATTGAACAAATTAGCAACTTAATAGATTAAGTCATCTTTTAATTTTTGTGCTCCAAGTGATTGAACCCAGGGAACCCTTAAACTGCATCCTAGTTCTTTCTATTTTCTTTCTTTTTTAAAAAAAATTGAGATATTGTCCTACTAAGCTGCTTAGGCTGGTCTCAGACTTGTGATTTTCCTGCATAAGCTTCCTAAGTAGCATAAATTCTAGGCATGTGTCACCATTTCTACAATTTAAATTTGTAAATTAATCATTAAAGACTAAAATCAATGTTCATGTTATATGTTGTATACTAAACACAAACATAATGGACTAAAGATTTCAAAATTTTCTATGTCCAAAGAGGTAGATTTATAATCTACTCTATCTATGCCATAGTGGTAATTAACAATTAAGCATTTATTAATGTTGCATAGACCATATGGACTGTTAATGGTCATCTATTAAAATATAAATGCAGAACCTGCAAAATTTTCAATGAACTGAATACATCATCATCTCCTCTCCTCCCTTCTTACACTCCTTACCAAGTCAGGAGGCCCTCACACCTCTGAGGAAGCAGGGAGTCACTTCCTTATGTAACCTTTAAAAAAGAGTAGTGTGTAATAAGGACACATCCTTACTTCAAAAAACTTCTAAAGGGTATGAGCTAGAGAATATCTAGAAGGGCTAAAGCTCCTCTGGTTTAACAGAGTGTTGGAAATGAAAAGTCAAATGGTCAAGTGATACCAGTAAGTGTGTGATGGAGCCATGACATTTGCAGGTTATTTTTCAAAAAAGATGGCAATAAATACAGGAAGATGTATGGAAAGATTAATTTTCAAATTTACCTTGGTGAGAAAATTAACTAGACATGGATGTATGGCTACTACATCCCATTCCTATGCTGATAATCCTCAGAGATAGAAGTACTAGAAAAAAGCAAAAAGGTAATATGTGAAGTTTGTGAAGAAATAAGAATCTTTTGAGTAACTACTATGATGATAATCATACCTAGTGTACAAAGTATTCCAATTCTATTATTATTGCTATTATTTTTATTTTTACAAAATAAAAAAGAAGATCTGGGTTAAGGTCCTCATTGTGGGGTTGCATAGATAAACTCTACAGAGCCTCTGAGAGCTTATATGTTCAGAAAAAGAGTTTCCAAGGAAAGATTAAAGATTACATATTGCTAAAAACTGTGTATGATTGATGTAAGTGAAGTCAGTATGTGAGGGGGTCTGGAAATGGAGAGAATGCAAAGGAGGGGAGGGGAAGAGGAAGTAAAAAGAACCAAGCTGAGATACATGTATGCACCACTTTCTCAGAATGAATATACGCACTAGGTACTACAAACATATATTAATAGAAAACTAAAGAAAATAAAGTGGAATTTAAGCACAAGGCCTGAGTTAAGAATATTATTTCCATAGTCACATTAATATCAGATGACATCAATTATGTGACTTAGAACACATGCTGTCCAATTTCTATGGTCAATATAAAATTTAGATGAATTCCAATGGCTATATAAAGCATTATTTTGTATCAGAGTATGTGTATACATAGTATGACTCTGTAATTTTGCATTCATATTTTTATAAATTGATTCTCATTTAGAATGAAAGGTGAAACAATTCTAGCGTAAACTACCTAATAGATTTTTGAAGCATTGATTTTCACTGGAGACAGAAGTCTTGATACTAACAGTGCCTCAGCCCACTAGACAGGAAAAGAGTGCATGATGAGGCACTTCATTAAGAGCATGAAAACTAGTTCTCTGTTCAGAGAAACCATTAAGAAGACTTTTGTCAAATTTATCACCTTGCGGTAGCTAAAAGTAAATCAGAAATCAAGGATGAGTGCAATTTCTCAGAAATAGTATCCATTTGTTCCAGCCATGTAGCTTCCTTTTATGATTCCTTTTGCTGTTATTAAATAAAATGCATGAAAAGCCAGTATGATTTGAAATTTTCCACATTTGAGCATAGAAAACAGTTTAAAACAATCCTTTAAAGAACAGTCTCAAAACAACTTCTGATGCCTAAATATTTAGGAAGACATAAATACAGCCATTTTCATTCATTTGAAATGAAAGAATAAAGTGGACTCTTTGGTATTGATATTTCTGTTTCATAAATAGTTCTATAATTTTAAGCAGATATAGCACTTAGTCCTAAACATAAGTAGATAGCATTAGTACGAGTAAATATATTATATGAAATAAACGGAGAAATAATTATTTTCTTTTCTCAATTGGCAATTATCTGTCTTACCTAAGAAATAATGCATTCCCAATACATTTGTTTATTTTTTTCAATACATTTGTTTAAATGCCTCAAATTATTGGAAATGTATTTTAAAAGTACTGTTATAGTTAAGTCTGTAAAACATTAAACAATTATGTTAGTAATAATTTATATTTGTGCAACATTTAAGTGAACATTACATTAACATTGTTTCTTACATTAATTATCATACTTAATGTTTACAAACAATTGAAAATATTTATAATTAATGAAAGATTAAATAAGAGAAAAAATAGTGCGTCACTTCTGTGAAATTTTTCTGTACATGAACCAAAATGCTACATATCTTCCTAAAATTGTTATAGCCAAATCATTTAGTGAAACAAATATTGCTATAAATAATTAACCCTTATGACTTACTATAGTAAAATTCTTCAAAATGTTTCTATTTTTCATAAATTATAACAAGTAACTAGTCTCAGGTACATAACTAACAATAAGTACTTTTTTGTCATGTGATGAGGTTTTATTTTTTACTTGTTCTGAACTAATGTAATATTTTTCATTACAGTTTCTTTTCTATAAGCTTCATTTTTTTCTACTGTGATAAATAACAAAATATAAAATATGCCACTTTGCAAGTTTAATTGTACAGTTCAACAGCTTTATATACATTTATGTTGGTACATGCCCATCACCACAATTTACCTACAGAACCTTTTCATCAATATCTTTTATTTATACGTTGCAAAATGTATAATTTCTTTGTGTGGTTCTACATCCATTTATAGAATTCCAATTGGAAGAGTTGAGTAAGAATGCACTTGTGAAAGCTGTTTTTTTTCACTGTTCTGATATTTTATTCTGTGTGGTTCTGTCCTCGACTTTATTTAGGGACATCTGATAAATGTTACCTACATTACTGATACTTTCATAAGATTTTGTTCTTGATAATATCAGCCTTCACTTAGAGATAATCCTCAAGCCTCTGTATTAAAATAAACAACATTCCATGTCCTAAAAGATATTTATTCTTTAAGGTTTCAAAAACGGGTTGGTGTTTTAAAGGTCCATAATAAAATTACAACATGGACTGTACTAGATATTTTAGCCAGTCATTTACAGTCCTATACAAATACATTTTTATAGCTTGAAAATTATTTTGTAAGAAATTAAAAACCAAATTTTTCAGAAATCAGATATGTCAATTCATACTAATGAAGCAGATATCTTTTTCTTTTAACGGCAAGATAAAAAAGCTTTAACCTACAAAATATTCTTTTAAATCCTTTAATACATTTTTCCAGATGAATACTTTTCCAGGGAGCATTATGTCAACTATTAATCATGGACATAGCAAGGGCAAGAAAATCAATAGATGCACATAAACAATTAGTGAACATGCTAAGAAAATACACAATTACTGACAAAAAGTAACATGTATTTTACTATTTTGTAATGTTTTGCATAGCCATAGTAATAATTTTTCAGGAATTCACTGTAAACAATGACTTCCTTGTAGTCTTCATTGTTACATTAAAGAGAATTCTGTCTGAGCTCCACCTGCTTTATTTTAAAAATAATGAATGCCTAACCTTGGAAGGAAACTTCTCTAGGGGGATTGGATATAAGTCTTGGGGAAGTCATAGAACTGTTATATGGAAAACCAGCTAGTTGCATTCCATGCTGCTCTAGAGGAGAAGGACTGTCATGGTGAAAGTAGTAGCAGGAAGAAAAAGTGTCAGCCGCTTATGTACATAAATATATCTAAACATAGAAGAGGATAACACATCCATAAATAAAAGAAGTGCCACATCACATCGTGAGCTTGACATTACTGGAAGCATTAACATGAAAAATGTCATGAGCTGTACTGAATTTGATTATCAATTTGTTTGTTCCTTGTTTGATGCACATTTATGGTCTTAGAGGTGCCTTGCTACTTCAGTACTAAGATGAATCATGTGGATCCTCAATTAGATT